ACCATAGACTTTGTATGTAAACCTGATGCTCCTGATGCTGAAATCACGTTTGGTGTGAACGCACCATTATAAACACTGAAAAGTGCTACTTGTTAGRCTGACTAAATGTGAAATAAACATTACAGAAACACTATTAAAAGTAAAAGTAYGAGAGTTTTCCTCACTCTTGAGTTGTGGTGAGTAGCTGCCATCTTGAATTCTGGGACACAAAATGCTGTGGCGGGCCACATTTGGCCCGCATGCCTTAATTTGGCATATACACTCTAAGGCGTCCCAATCGAATGCCTGAACCACATAAACAGACTCCTTGTGTGTGAAGGTTTGAAGCTTAGCCACCATRTAAAAAATGTCCAGAATCGCGTTCTTTCAGTCATGATCCAAACCTCATGACCACAGGTGAGGGCTGGGACGTAGACATACCAGGAAATCGAAAGCTTTGCCTCTGGACAGTCTTGCTTCACCATGAACGCCCTCATTACAGAGGATGGAGGCCCCGATTCGTCAACCTGCATGTCTTGTGTAATTTATTCTTTCAAACTGATGTKCCTGAACAGCAGACCACAGCTATTTCCTCTATCTGTTTTAGTCATTTAAAGCAGAACAAACAATACCATTCTTACCCATCTGTGGAAGCAGTAACTATGGCTACTTTCCCAGCAAGGCTACTCTGAGACATACTTCTCTGTCCAGCTACAGGGTTGATCTTCAGAAGCCGGAAGATACTCCTCATCCTCACCTGTGAAGAAAAAAAAACAAAAAAAAAAAAACAAAACAACGTAATTTATTCATGCAAACACTGGTAAGTAGGTGAGAGGTCATGTACTTTGACCGGACTGCTGCATGTGTGGACTCTAGCATAAAACGAGAGAGATTTTAACCACGTAAACCTATACTTTGATGATTTATCAATAATTTAGCACTAGATAAAATAATTGATCGGTGTTTATTTACAAAGGAAAACTCAATCGAAAGTGCACGCGCAGGGTAAATCGAATAGGCATTCTGTTAAGAAAGATTGAGACGATTAGCTCACCAAGCAGATCATGCAACTTAGAAATGAAGTCTCAACGAATAAACATTATCATTTCTAAGACWTGGTGTGAACCTTGAACTCTACATTTAGTATTTTCCGGTTTAGCTTCCGGCTGTCAAAATAAAAGCCTCCARGGAGTCGTGGCTTTTTTTCGTTGCGGCTTTAAATTAATGTTGTTGCTACTTTTGTCATTTTATGTCTTTTTTTGTAAAAATCATTAGTCAGTAGTATTATTAAGACCAATTATAAAAGACGTACAAAGTATATATACTGCACGTGTAGCTTTCAGCAATATAAATAACGGAGAATTTGAACGTCCTTTAACGCACCTGCAAAAACCAGCCAATCACACAAGTAGTGTGCTTTTGGTGTTGCGTTGAAAAATGTACCCCAGTTTTTCTAAGCGTTTTTTTAGTTCTTTTCATTACATTATTAATGAAAATCAAAAGTGAAAAATGGAATTGCGTTTTTCACGACAATTAAAATATAACAAATATRTTTCATTGTAAAATATATTTGCAATTAATGCATGTCGACGTACCACCCCKATTTTTTTTTACTGCTACTCCCTATTTAAGAATAAAGCTAAGGGACTGATATCAGAAGGTGATAYAATTTTTTGGCTGTAACATTTTCTTGATAAAAAAACCCGATGTTTCATAACTCATAAAACAATCAGAGAACGTAAGTGTCTTGAAACGAGCTTCCCATAACAGGGTGTGCTTTTTTCGTTACAACACGAGCAGTGGGTTGTACGGTAGCCACCGTGGGATTGGCTGCGCGATTTCACAGCAACCGGATTGGACTAAACCATTCAAATTAGAGGCACGAGTTCGCTTTGAGATCGGCGGACTGTCCCGAACAGCCGGGGGTGGGCGGAGTCAATTGTTTCGTCATTGAATGTTTTCACGCCTGGACAGAACGAAGAAGGGATTTCATATATCTCCAATAGACCGTACGTCGATGGGAAGTTTACTGGCGAAAAGGAAAAATAAAAAAGCGAGGTAATTCTTTTATGGCCACCGCTTTACGTGCTAAGACCGATGGGTGCACGGCTCGGTTCATCTTTATCCAAGTAGTGCCATTGTTGGTTAAAAACGGAGCRTTAGCGGCGCGAAGGGCGATAAATAACCAGCGTTACTTATCTATGTAGTCAGAAATAGCTAGGCCCCGTTACCGCAGCTTTACTGGCTATGGAAATTATACTAGCTATGGAAATTATAAGCTATCATTCYCAATATATCGATAATAAAAACGCATACACATTTTTCGGCTTCACATTGGCGGTAGATAGCACTGTTTGGAATGATGCTAATCTCAGGCTAGCTTTGCTTTAACGTGTGAAGCGTATCGCCTCAGCTGCATTTATCYACCTTTTATTAGACACACTGTGCATGAGTTCAGGTTGTTGAATCGGTTTCCATGTGACATGCAGGATTTGTACGCCAGGCATCGTTTGAGATGCGTCACGGCCAGAACAAGCAGCTGTGCTTCGGCACCGGGGAGTCTTTCTGCGGACGAGCTGGTCTATGAGAACCGCAGCTGATCTGCATGGATGAGCTGACCGATCCGGACCCCTGGATGTGTTATAGTTTCCCAGAGACGTAACCGAAAAATCCTGCAGCCATGTCTGTCTCGGTGAGTACAGTAATGTGCATCCCTGAATGCAAATGTTGTGCCAAACTAACAATGATGGAGAAGTAAATGATAAAGCAAGCGAGGCACATTTTTAGTTCTGTAAATTCTCCAGTATTTTCCATTCAAAAATACTTTATTGATCCCAGAGGGAAAGTAGGTGAGGATTGTGAGGATGGTCATGAGGATCCTTGTTGCCTCCATTACTGATCTGAAGGGGCTCCCACATGGCTCATTGGAGCCTCTGTCCCCCTCGGGGGGTTTGGTTTAGAAAATGAAAGGGGCTCTGACTCTGGCTTTTTGGGTTGGCAATTAAACACTAAACAGCCAGGGACAGATGTGCCTCTCATCCCCTCCCCCTCCCTCTTATCCTGCTCATTACCATTAAGCTTCTGTGTCCATTTGATCATTGATCCTCCCTGACTCGTCCCCTCTTTCTCTCTTGGCCATAAAAACTGACCCAGTTTGGATATTTCTTGTAAACATGACATGATCTTTTGGAGTTGGAATGTTGTTTTTTCTTGTGAGCCAATCCTCTTTTCATTTCGTCCTACAAGCTCTTCCCTATTCATTTGTGTTCACTTTTTATCTAACAGCTCTAAACAATAAACCCTTTTTAATCATCCAGGTTAGGCACACATGGTGTTGGTAGGTGTTAAGGATGTTTGCTTTATTTATTTATTTTTATATTTTTTCCCCTTAGACGGTTTTGGCAAAGGCTCTGTTTGACAACACAGCCGAAAGCCCAGAGGAGCTGGCTTTCCGGAAAGGCGACATCCTGATGGTTCTCAAACAGGAGCAGACCGGTGGTCCGGGCTGGTGGCTGTGCTCCCTGCAYGGCAGACAGGGCATCGCTCCAGCCAACCGTCTTCGACTCCTGCAGAGCGCCCCGCCCCCAAGCCAAGATGGTCCCAGCGAAGATTCGGTCTACCTGTCGCCTGGCCCTCCGTTGGTSCAGGCTGCTGTCGGTGGCGGCACAGACGACGCCGACGGAGTGTACCGAGCGCCACCTGTCGCGGGGGAGGGCCGAGGAGGGGGAGCCGCCTTTCGGGCCGGAGAGCTGCGCAGAGCGGAGGGCGGACGTCCGCGCTCGCACTCTAGTTCTGGCGTTCGGGCCAGACCAGACTGGGACATTGGGGTGGCGGGACGTCCACGTTCGCCCTCTTTAAGGGGACGAGGCACGGAAATATTAGGAGCAGTTTATCAGAAACCAGGTGCAGCTCTGCCTGCCAGGCAGCCGGGAGTCCTCGTGGGTTCAGACTCTGTGTACCTTTCTCCCACTGGACTACAAAGGGCCACTGATGAACCAGAAGACACTACGTATCTTGTCCCAAGAGAAACGCTAACATCAGGACAATCTGACGACTGTTACTTGGTGCCTAAAGGTACGCCGCTTGCAAGTGATGATGTTTACCAATCGCCAACAGGTGGAGGTGTGGCCAGTCCTATTTCTTCCAACGCTGCTTCTGTGATCAATGGGACCTCTCAGTCCAAAGTCAGCCAGGACGTACCAGGAATGTACCAAACCCCGGCCGCTGTGCGGGCAAACCCACACAAGACCCCAGCCACGGTTCTGGCCCACCAACACCCGTCTTCACTAACCCCCGGCCATGCATCCCCTCGACCCCTGCTTAAGGGGGTTCCACCGAACCCCGCTGCTGCGAGAGGCAAACCAGGCATGGCCAGTCACCGGGGTTCCCCTTTGCTGATCAGAGCAGGCCAGGTTAGGGCCCCAGGGTCGCCCAACTTCGCCCGCAAGCCTCCCCCGCCGGCGCCCCCGGTGAGAGGAGTTACCAGGAAGGATTCTCAGCAAGCAGCTGACTCTAACTCTGCCAGTCAAGCCAGTTCAACCAGCCGGCAGCAGCAGGAGAGCAAACAGTTCCGAGCTCCGCAGAGCAGCGAAGGTAAGATGAGCAACGGACTGGAAAAGAGTAGCAACAAAGTGGGAGAGAATCAGGATCAGTCAGCAGCTGCAGATGACCAGGTACGTCAAAAAAAAAAAAAAAACTTACCTAACCTTCATATTACAGATTATTTTTAACATGGGTGTGGTGTTTAGCGTCACTCAGCTAACATCCAAATCAACGTTCATAAGTTGTTTTTTATTCTYTGCTGCTATGGTAGGTGTATGATACCCCTCCCAGTGGTAGGTGGCAACAACCAGTCCARTCTACCCTGCAGGGCGATGATGGCATCTATGACACCCCTCGTAGTGTCCAATCACAAGCTGACTCTGAAACGGAGGTAAACACGACCCCTGGCTCCGCTCTGTATGCTGACCTGTGCATACATTTGTCTGTTTTAGTGCTTAGTTTCTGTTTACATATCTTAAGCTACTAAAACTTGCTTGTCAATCCTGTTTTTCTTTTATTGAAGAGAATTGAATATAGCATTATCTTGTAACCTGTACTCTAGGAAGTTTGAATCACTATTAATATTTTTATATCAGTTTTGTCAACTTAACTAAAAAAATCCTTTGCAATTGATGTGCAACCTTTTTTTCAGATTTAGTCAAGTTAATAAGGACATCTAACTTTTAAGCCTGTTTTTAATTAAAAAAGCTAAAGTCTCCACTTGTTATATAAGTTTTTGTTTCTTAATGCAAGAAACAAAGTTTGTTGTTTTTATTTTTTTGTTGTATTATTTATAATAGTAAAATATCCAAGTAGTATACACATACTAAGAGTGTGTTCAGTTCATCCAATATGAGAATTTGTTCAGGATTTGCTGCAGACAGTGGGAACCATTCTGAATTTCATGCCTATACAAGTGAAGTGATTTGTGAACAAGACACAACTATCAGATAGGCTGCCACCATTTATTCTCACATTCCACCATTGGTCCTTGTCCCTGCCCCCGCCCTCCCAGGCGAGGCCACACCTGTCTCTGTCTGCTGGGGAAGCCTGTCTATCCAGTCCAAATGTTGTTGCTATTTTCTCCTSGTCACACCCATCTGCTAGGACCATGCTGTGGGAGTTCCACCACCATGCTGCCCACAGTGGTCTCCCCTTTAATTTTAGAAATGCGTCCCAGCTGTCGGACTGTGTTTTACTCTGGTCCTGCTGGCATTGCAGACATGCTCCCATGTTATTATAAGTTGTAAGTGAGCCCGGCTCTGTGRTGGTCAGTGACTCTCCTAATGGGTGCGTTTGAAGATCTTTGGGAGGTGTTCTTTGGTCAGTTGATCATCTGCAGGCCTGTTAATTCAACTAAATATTTAGCTCAGCTCACTGACAGTATAAAAGGCATAAAATCAAAAG